ACTACTACTACCACTACTACTACCACTACTACTACCACTACTACTACTACCGCTACTACTACCACTACTACTACCACTACTACCACTACCACTACTACTACCACTACTACTACCACTACTACCACTACCACTACTACTACCACTACTACTACCACTATCACTGCTACTACTACCACTACTACTACCACTACTACTACCACTACTACTACCATTACTACCACTACCATTACTACTACCACTACCATTACCACTGCTACTACCACTACTACTACCACTACTACCACTACCACTACTACCACCACTACTACTATCACTACTACCACTACTACCACCACTACTCCGTGTTGCGCTGGGTTTCCACGGAAGCCTAGCAGGGGACACCTGTAACCCCGGCACGGCGCGTCCCCAGGGTGGCGGATAGGGTAATGCCCTCACCAGCTTGCTGGCGTGTAGGTGTGAAATAAAATAGCACCCGCGGACTAACAGGATTGCACTCCCCTCGCGGTATTGCACACACTGCTGCGGGGGCATCTATGGCCACGGCCACACGGATTGGAGATGCGATGACGATTTTGGCTATGTCTTAGGACCTTTTTTCTCTTAAAAAACATGAAAAGTACACCAAGAGGAAAAGGGATTACGGAGCAGGGGAGGGATACCCAAGTTCCGGTCGGAACGGAGGAATTTAGGGCAGGTCCCCACCGACCGTCATCCAGCGACTGTCATGGACCTGGGCTGTTTCACCGAACCCCGGCCCTGGATCAGGATTTCGGTGACCAGACGACCGCAAAGAATCTAAAAGGTACTCGAGAAAAGGCATGTGAAATGACAAGAACGGAACAGGTGCTGACACCTGGATCGGCCGTTGGAGAAGAGAGCATGGAAGAGTATGTCTCCAAATGGGCTAAGATACAAGATCCCTTCTCCAGACGTGACTCTATTGGAAGGCCCCCTCCGAGATCGAGGATGGGTTCGGAGAGCTCGGCAAGCAGCTGTACGTCGGGTTTAGAAGTGGGTGTTGGCCCAAAGAGAAGGCGGGATGATGGCTATGGCAAACTAAGGATGCTGGTACTACCAAACGAGGCAGAGCGGATACCAATGAGCAAGAGCTAGATGAGTTGAAAGGTATGCTCAGGAAACTAGACGCTACAGCCAAGAGCCTCAGAGACCTGGTGAAAACCATTCCCAACACTAAGACGGATATTAAAAAGCTGATTGCTGATGTATCCAGACAGATTGAAGTTGCAAATCGTAAAATTAAGGAATGGGAGGCATACCCAAGGGCAGTAGAGGTACCCGAACAAACAAGAAACGAAGTGGTAACAGTGGGTATACAGGTTCAAATGGACGGGGATGATAAAGAAGAGTTAAATAAACAAAAGGTGGCCGAAATCCGAAAAATCATTAGGGAGGAAACAACTTATGAGAAACTTACCGAAATTATAAATCAAAACTGGCCAGACGAGGTATATCAAACTGTTAAGAAGACTCAAGGAAACCCGTTCAAGAGTAATGCAGGAGGTAATATAGCAATAGTTATAGACCCAAACGAGAAATGCGAGAAAGGCATTGCAAAAGACATGCTAAGGCAATACCCAGAGGTGAAATCAATAATTGAGGAGGGGCTCAAGGAGGGAGAAATAGAATATATGCGTAGTGAGGTGAGATAAATAAGACAATATATCTCTTGCCATACCCTGTGGACACTGGCGGAACAAACGACATGCGCGGCTTTCACGGTCTAATGAGGTCATTAAGAGATCACGTCACCAAAGCGGAAGCAGACGGGGGCCTCATACTTGTAACTCCGGAAGGTCTGGACCAAAATTATGTTAGGAAAATAGCGGAATACGTAACTGATAAGAAGTTCGCGGAGCTCACTTATATGGTGGCGAGGAAAGTCAAACCAGCAGGCAGATCAAAAGCTAGCAAGCCTAAAGGCACTAAAACAGGCAAAATCATTATTAGGTCTGAGGGTAAAACATATGCAGACCTGATAAGAACGGTGAAGAAAAATGTAGACATCGACCAAGCTGGTATAAATGTCAAGTCAGAGGAAAACGGAAAGGGGTGATTTAATGCTGGAAGTGGAAGGAGGCCAAGATAAGACGGCAGAATTGAAGGAAATGATTAGATCTAGAACAAATGAGCTAGAAGTAATTGCAAAATCTAATGATGCGACTATTCATATAATGGACATAGATGCGGATATAAGCGAAATCGAGTTGAAAAACGAGATAATGAAAAATGAGAGTAGTATGAAGGAAGAAAACTTGACGATAGTTTCCCTTAGACCAAATCAGAGAGAAAATCAAGTTGCTACTGTTAAAATGAGGAAGGACCTGGACGATAAATTAGTCGAAAGGGACAAGATAAAAATAGGTTGGGTACTATGTAGGTTAGAAGTCCAGACTGTACGGGACCGAACAGGAGAAACACATGCGTGAGATGTGCTCGTATAGGTCACAAAGCGAAGGATTGTAAAGAGACGATACTTCACTGCATAGTATGTAATGTAGACGGACATCAGGTAGATAATACTGGTTGCCCTAGCTTGAGGCGCATGGTTGGAGGTAAAACAAGGGAAATCAGAGAAAGGACCAAAAGTAGATCAGGAAGTGTAAACCCCGTAATAAGTCTGGAACCATCGAGGGCCTCCTTGCAAGAAAATGCTGCAGCAAGCGTGACCCCAGAAGGCAAACTGCCAAAATGCCTTTAAATCTCAAATTCATGCAGGCTAACCTAATGAGATCTGTCCATAGTCATGATATTGCCTATGCGACGGCAATCAAAAGGGACGTGGATGTTCTAATTGCATGCGAACCAAATAAAAAACGGGTAAGCTCAAACAACTGGATAAAAGATAAGAAATCTGATGTGGCAGTACTGTTCATTAATAAAAGAATAGAGGTCTTGAACGTAACGATGGAAGAAGGATACATATGTATAGAACTGAGAAAGTGCCGTATATATTGTTGCTACAGTTCTCCCAACATTTCGCTTGACAGGTTTAAGGCGAATCTAGATGGGGTGATGGAAGACAGTAGGAAGACAGATGGAGAGACCATTATCCTGGGCGACCTAAACGTCAAATCACCACAATGGGGATCGGATGTAACTGACCCTAGAGGAGAATACCTCATGGAATGGCTAGCTGCAACAGATATGACAACTCTCAATACCGGAGAAACACCAACATTCTCCAGGGGAAATAGTGTATCATTCATTGATGTCACCTGTGCCACTGCAAATATTGCGAAGAAAATTAACAAATGGCAAGTTCTGGAGGAAGAATCGCTTAGTGACCATCGGTTCATCTATTTTGAAATTGAGGACCAGATACACACTAAAAAAGGTGTAGAAAAAGAGAAACCAGTATACGACTGGGACTGTTTCAGAACCACCCTAGAGTGGAGGGTGAAGGTCGCAAATACCCTCAATGCAGGAAGTGTAGCGAAAGAATGTACGCAAATGCTGAAGGAAACATGTGGAGCTAGCCAGGTACACAGAAGCGTGAAACAAAAATCATTACTACCTTACTGGTGGAGTAGTGAGATAGAACTGCAGAGAGCCAAATGCATCCGAAGTAGACGGCGGTTGACAAGGAGTAACGGAGACAACGACAAAAATGGAGAAAACGTAATTAAGGAAGAATACAAAAAATCCAAAAAGAAGCTAAAAGACCTTATCAGCAGATCAAAGGCTAAACACTGGCAAAGCCTCTGTGAAGAGCTGGATAATGACATATGGGGAAATGGATACAAAATTGTCACCGGACGATTGACCAACAAATTGCCCGTGGATCTGACGTTTGAAAAGAGGAGGGAGGTTGCAAAGGAGTTGTTCCCCCAAAGTGAACACAAAATAAAGGCTCCACTGCTGATTAGTGAAGTCGAGCCTTTTACCAAGAAGGAATTACTGAGGGCAGTAGAAAACATAAAAAATGGGAAGGCACCAGGGGTGGATGGAATACCACCGGAAGCAGTAAAAGAGGCCGTAAAAGCCGTTCCGGACTGGATGCTCTTTGTCTTCAATGAACTTTTAAGGACACAAAAATTCCCAGTTGATTGGAAAGTGGCTAAATTGATCCTTCTACCAAAAGGGAAGTCAGCGATGGAGGGTCCATCAGGATATAGGCCGATTTGCCTTTTAAATACCTTAAGCAAACTATACGAGGTATTAATAAAGAGCAGGCTCGAGAGCGAGTTAGAGGTAAATGGGGGGTTTTCTGACCAGCAGTTTGGATTTAGAAAGGGACGATCGACAATACAGGCCATCGAGAAAGTACTAAAGAAGAGAAATCGAACAGAAGATAAATGGTGTACTCTAGTAACGATTGACATCAAAAATGCCTTTAACACGGCATCGTGGACGATCATAATCAACGAGCTTCAAAGCAGAGGTATTTCACAGTACCTGATAAATTTGATATATAGCTACTTTGAAGGGAGAACAATTAGAGTAAACAAGAGAGAAGAGATGGAAGTCACAGCCGGGGTCCCGCAAGGGTCAGTCCTGGGTCCGTTGCTTTGGAATATCCTTTATGATGGAGTGCTTAGGATGGAACTGACAGAAAAAGCAATGTCAGTGGGGTTCGCCGACGATTTAGCGCTGGTCGTAACAGCCGCAAATGAAGACGAACTGCTCTACGGTGTCAACGAATCACTTAGACGCATTAAGGTGTGGATAGAGCAACATGATCTCGAGCTGGCAGCACAGAAAACAGAAGCTGTCATAATGAAAGGACCAAGGAAAAGAAAACATCTGCGCTTCACAATTGGAGGAATGGAAATTACTCCGTGTAAAGCGTTAAGATACCTGGGGGTGGTGATCGATGAGGGTGGTACATTTGGAGAGCACCTAGAGAAAGCAGTGAATAAGACTGAAAAGAAGTCTGCAATCCTAGCTAGGTTGATGCCAAACTTGGGCGGACCAAGGACGTGTAAGAGAATGGTACTGTGCGGGGTGGTCCATTCAATTTTGCTGTATGGGGCCCCTGTTTGGCACACGGCACTGCAGAAAAATAAGTATAAGATGATGCTCGAAAGGACCCAGAGAAGAATACTATTACGTGTTGTAATGGCCTACAGAACGGTGTCGGCAAAAGCAGTTTAAGTGGTCGCGGGAACAGTGCCCATAGATCTGTTAGTTAAGGAGAGGTGTATATTACACGAATGGGAGAATGGTCATTCCCATTCCGTAGCAGAAAAGAAGATGACGAGAGCCAGCATTATAGAGGAGTGGCAGAGGTCCTGGGATGAAAATATAACGGTGGCACAGTGGACCAAAAAAATTATCCCAGACATCAAAACATGGCTTGAGTGCAAACACCGAAATGTGGATTACCACATGACTCAGATCTTAACTGGGCATGGAAGGTTTGGTGTTTATGCAAAGAAGATGGGAAAAAGGAACAGTGATGAGTGCCTCTATTGCGGAGAACAAGATACAGCGGAACATACGTTTTTGCCCAAAATGGGAGCAAGATAGGCAGCAATTGTATGTAGCCCTAGGGAAAAGGCTGACAGTAGAAAACCTTACCCAAACAATGGTGGAGCAGAAAAAGGCCTGGGACAAAACGAAAGAGCTTATGATTAAAATAATGAAGGAGAAGGAAAGAGAAGAACGAATGGTTGGACAAGTTCAGGAACCACCAAATGTAAATGCACAGCGGGAAAATCCAGATAGAAATCGAACTCCTAATCCCTGTATTGACCAGGGGAGGGGAGAAGTAGATGCATAGAGTAGATTCATATTAAACACGCAATGAGTAAATCTCCATAGAAATCGAACTCCTAATCCCTGTACTCGGGGGAGGGGAGAAGTAGATACATATAATAGATCGATATTAAAGATATCCATTCACCTTGATGTTATGTCCACGACGGTTCCAGGGTGTAAGGGAGAGGAGGGGAAAAAACCACTACCACTACCACTACTACGGCCGCCGCCGTTTCGACTAATTTTGTCAGAATGAAATAACGTAAACAATAAACAACAAATTTAAGGGTGAACACGTAATTATAAAAATTGTATAACTGGAAATAATGTAAAATATCAGAGTAGGCGCTGGAAGTGACCACCTTGTGAGATATTAGATATTATTCTTTAAAAAATCCCGGGTGTATTACGAATTCTTTGAAAGGCTTGTTGAATTCGTTGCCATAATGGGGCAGTTTCACATTTTTTTTCTTTTCTTATTAAATTCCTTTCATCGTAAAAAGTCAATTGCCACATAAATTTTAAATTTTTAATTAATAGTGTTCCTATAAAAAATATATATAAATTCAAAATAATTCTCTATGCACTAAAACGCAGTCTTAAACAAAGACGGCTGATTCTTACGTCACGATCCGGTATCGATCCAAATTAAACGAGTTGTGTACAGTCGTGTTCTGTAGTCTGTCTCACTCTTACTCATTTGTGTTTATGCAAACTACGTGTGCCGGATAGATTTTATATTATTTACTTTTACTTAACACAGTATTGTTAATTATTTTAAAAACTGTACATTCTATCGCTACAGAAGCTGAATTTGTCCAAGAGCAATCTGATAGTTTGTCAAAAATAGATGTTCCATAAAATATGTTTGCATGATTTCTTCCTCATTTTCTCATCCTTTGGTACATTAAATAGTTTGTTGGGGGCAGTTAGTGTTGTGGAACTACACATGGGTACCTACTATAATATTTATGTTCAGACACTGTTATGTTTTTCACGTTCTCGTGTTGTAATTCTGATCCTGAAGCCGCCACGCATTAACGCTGCCTGGGTAGATATTGTGAAAATGTTCTCTATGAAAATTAACGAAACTTGTCTTTAAATTTATACACTAAGACTATCTACTCAAAACTACTCAGAATTCAATGCGAACACAAACTAATTCAACACAAGATTAAATGACAGCAATGCAATGACAGCGCCAGCCTCCCGCGTCTTGACAGTCTTAACACTCATATACCGGATCCTGACGTTACAAATTGCTTGACCAGTTAGGGACCGTTTTCGCCTACCTAATTATATACAATACTTTAATAATTAATTACATATTAATAGCTAAGTTTAAAGGGGTTTTACATATAGAAACATACTTTTATACTAATTTTCTGCACTTTAAATAAATTTTGCTTCAAAAGAAAATTTGATGCAACTTCCTCATTCATCAATCGAATTTACTGGAGTTACGTAAATCATTTCCTTAACATGACCCCAAGTGTGGAAATTTAGAGGATTTAAGTCCGGTGAACGTCCAATCCACCGTCAGGGTATGTCATATTTAAATAATCTCTTACTTATTACTCTTATTTTAGCCATTTTAGCAACAATTAGAAATTTTGCAATATTTGTTCGAAAAACTACTTATAAACATTTAGAGCTGGACCCACCGTATTTGCATATTCTTCAAATGTAATTATAGAATCAAATAATAGAAGAAGGATTGACGAACAAAATCCACTTTGATGAACTATCAAACACTACCCTTAATTTAGTTGTCAAACTATCTTGTTGAATAACTCCATGATACGTAAGAAAATATGATATGTGACTTGCTTGATAATGCTAACAATGATATATGACCTAAGTTTAAAACTAATATTTCTTTGGAACCTGTATTCTAAGCTTGTAACCTTTTCATTGCGAATGTCATCAAATCACCCAAATGATACTCAGAAGAATGCATTAGAATTTTAACAACAAATCTGCCACTTCCATATCTTAAAATATGGTATTGAAATAATTCTCACAATTAACATTTGCTGCGGTCGTTGACTCACTTATAGCTCTTCCCATTTCCCAAAACACGTGAGTTCACTTCCATCAAATCGTGAAAATTGCATTGAAGGTTTGGCTTACCTTGATCGACAACTCCAGGCACTAACCAACTAAATTTTGAATTTTGTAGAACAGACAGAACTTTACCAAGACCGGAGACTTTATAAACTACAAGGTCTATGACTTACTTTTCAGGAATCGGGATGTTCTAAAAAAGTGTCTGCACCAATGAGAACATGAACCTGATTCATTAAATCAGCTAATTTTATAACCGTTGGAATGTTCCAAGAATTATCATTAATCTTAAAAAATAGCAAACTGTCAGTTATGTTCTGCAGTACAAAGTAAGAAATCTTGGCAGAGAAATCATTGTTAAATGATTTGATAAAAACGCGACATTGATATTTCAAATTGGATGACACATTGAAATATTTGTTGGATATTCATTGATCCTAATCTGCTTACACTCTGGAAGAAATAAAACTGGGCTGTGAGCCACAATCTAAAATTTCTTTTATTCTGTGAAACTTACCCAAATCATCAGAAATTAAAACTGCAACAGTGCATAGCAAAACTGACTGAACTTTACTTTTCCTTGTTTACCTGGCGACTTGGATTCTTCAGATTCTTTGTTTATTTAACTGAAGCAATGTATTGTGTTTACGATTACAGCTTTTACAATTATCTAATGTCTAATGTACAGTCTTTATAGGTATGACCTAGGCGTAAACAGTTAATGCATAGAGTTTTGCCGTCTTTCTTGAGTTTTAAAAATTTGTCACATTTATAAATCACATGATTGGGTTTACCAAAATTACATTGTATTTTTGAAGACAAGAGATACATTTGCTTTATTCCTTTATGAATTGCCTTTTTCTTTAATATTAGCCAAATACTCTGCTTTATTATTTATGAACTCTTTAATATGTGACAATTTTGGAGATTTGTAAAATGATTTGTCAAATGTGGTAGAAATTAGATAAACAATTAATTTGTCCCGGTATTCTGAGGGCTGCTTTAGAGTTTCCAAATCTCTTAAATGCACACACATTGTTAATTAAATTTCTTTAACCCGAACGTGACTCTTTTGTTAAAATTTCGAAGTCAAATAGTGCTCTCACATTGCAATTGCCTAAAACTGTTATATGCATCACAGAATAAATCCCCAGCATTGTTAAAATTATCTGAAAAAAACTCTAATGATTGTATTGTAATGATTCGCCCTCTAAACATGATCTAAGATAATTTTTGTACCAGTTATGAAAATCCCTACTAAATTTGACGAGATCAATTGGAGGCAATTTTACACTATCAAATTAGTCAATAGATTTGTATTGGTAATATTGCAAGGTGCCAATGACATATTTAATAGTGTCTTTGCTTCGGCAACTACTGAATGGTATCTCGCAATAAATCGTTGCGCCCTAAATACTGTTTTTCTAAATCTGAATCATCGCAAATGCATTTTATTTCACTCTGAATTAAACGAAAATCTGACATTAATGTTGTAGGTACATTTTTCTACTCGATCTTCTAACTCTACAATTGTTTTTCCTACGAGCGTGCGTAAAGTAATACTTTTCCGCATGCATTTTCGTACGCACACTTTTCTGCACGCCGCGCCGTGTGGATATAGCATATTGTGCATACTATTTTTTATTACGAATGCAGTGTGTATTTCTGGTAATTGTAGGACTTCAATTATGTTTTCACATAATTTAATTTATTTATTTTCAGATTTTTATTCATTTTAGGTTGACATAAACAACTATAAACTGTCATTAAAATGTCGCTTTTTTAATAATATATTACGTAATAAGTGTTGTAAAAAGCATTTTACGCACGAATGGAAAAGTTACGTACGACGCCGAGTAGCGGCGAGTGCGTAATTCTATGAGTGCGTAATTGCATTACACCACGTATTACGTACTATACTTTACCTACGACCACTACTTTAAATACTTAAAAACACACCGTCTGCGATCAATGCAAGATTCCTATTACGTCGTACGGTAAAAAAAAACGCACAGCTTGGTAACAAACAGTATTGTATTGGCCGTTGCTAGGCGGTTTCTAGGAAAACTGTGCGATTTTTTTACCGTACGTAATAGGAATCTTACATTGAGCGCAGACGGTGTGTTTTTAAGTAGTTACAGTAGTGGTCGTAGGTAAAATAATATTTTCGAGCTTTAGGCTCTAGATTTGTGTATTTTATTGTCAATTCGCGAGCGACGAGTGTGATTACCGCACGCTAATAAATAAAGTAGGCAAACAGCTATTTACCGACCTAAAAAATAAGCGAAAAGAAAGGATATCCTATCTTTTCGCAAGTTTTCTAGGTC